CGAGATCGGTCACAGTCCGCTTCCATTCTAGCTGAGGAGAAGGCAAGCGAGACACGACCATATGACCTCTTCGCTGACTGACCAAACTACAAGTAGATATCGATTAGAGAAAATTCCGCCGTGAGCGTCAACAGACCGCTTTGGGTCAACATAAAACGACACCAAGAACCATGAAAATAATCGCCGCGGGATAAGAGTAATAACAGTGTATTTAATGGTCAATTAAAAGCAGGGGTTGTTAAAATATCAGAGGGCTTTCATTTGATCTACAAGTAAATCCCAGTAGAACTCATCTCAAAGTCACGAAGCTCAGCGTTCGGGAATGAGACGGTTAAAAGTGGCTGTGATTTCCGGCGTAAGGCGTCTGCGTGATTTCGATTTAAATACCGAGAAGCAAGACGGTGATCTAATTTCTGGCGGATGATTATTCCAATGGAAAGCATATTGACAAGCAAAAAAGAGGGAGCGCCTAGATGTAGTGAAAAGAGGCAGCGGCATCACCATCGAGGAGGCGCGCACGGCACGAGACCGATCTCTCGGAGCGCGAATGTCAATGCGCGGAAGTTAAGAGTTAGACTTAATACGAAAAAGAAAACAGAGGCCAGTTTTTATCCTTTTAACGCAAAAAAACTTAGTGATTGTCAGCCTATATCTCTGAGAATAAGAAGTAGCGGATGCAACTTGAGAGAAGAGTTTCCGGGTAAAAGCCCCCAGAACACTTTCGATACCATTACCGTCACAGTCGCTCATTATACCATAGAAAGAACAGCAGTACTCGAGGAGTGGAAGAACGAACATTCGATAAATTCTTAGCTTAATTTCCGGAAGGAAGTCATTGCGAGATACGAACCCACATATCTGTGCGGCTTTGGCAGAGATTCCATCTGAGTTAGGTGATAAACCAAGTGTGTTTGTATAACTCAAACCTAGGTCCTTTGTGGTGAAGCATTCTGAGAGTGAGTTATTCTGAAAAATTATGGGGCCAGTTAAGTTTATTGGGGGAAATATGCGTAAACCTTTGAGTACCCTATTTGCAACGCAAAAATGTGTTGTATACAGAAAAATCTTTAGGGCTGAAATAGTTCAAACGAACACGTAAAGGTAGGACAAAATGGGAGTAAGTCACTGGGGGACGAGGTCAATCTTTCATCGTTCTTAGTCATTTCGGAACATGAACAGGTCGAGGTTCTTTTTAAAGCTTTGCATAGATGGTGACCACAACGTCCAGGAAGGGCATTCCATGACTTGACCACTCGAACAGAGAAGGAGAACTTCCGCACATCCAGCGTTGCCAGTTGAGTGCTCATTTTAAACGGGTGACCTCGAGGTTGGTCGTGGTGGCAAATTCAAAAAAGTCCTCGAAATCCAGCCTGCAATCTAACTCCTTTAGAATGCGGAATGATCGCAAGGGGTCCCCGCGAAGTTGCATGTAACTCAAAGGGAAGAGGTCCGGATTTACAAGTTGTTGGTGAAATCTCCCGGTCAAGTTTATGTTGTGGGCCAGGAAATGTGGTGGTACGCCTGGCTGCTGATTTTGCTGGGCCCACGGTCTTCAGACTTACATCGAACATTAAAGATACAGGCAAAGACTTGGAAGTGGCGGTCTCCATCGAAAACTGTGAATATGCTTAGGACAGTGTGAAGACATCTTTAGAGCGTCCGTCATCCAGACATAAAAATCCGCCTGTCTTTCGGCTTCCGCAGCAGCATGCCATTTATATGGTAGGTGCGCTTGTCAGAGACCTAGTTTTGATTTTCGAGTCGCAATACGGCCGGAGCATTTGTTTCAGTTGAATGACAGAACCATCTACGGGGCCACTCTACCAGTCGACAAAATTTTACTTGGAAGTTTGCTTCGTCGGCGGCACTGTGGGTGAATTTCCGGATTTTTATATCATCCGCAAAATACTCTGCTGATTGACGTGTTCTTTACGCAGTTTCTATCTCTCCGGCTTGTCCGTCTGGCTGCTCTTTCCAAGTCCATTCGAGAATTGACCGAGTTAATCGAACTGGGAACCAATGTGAAAATAAAGAGAAAGTAAGGTTAAAAGCCTCAAAGCATACTTATTACAAGTAACAATCTGGCGTTCTTTAATCTACCTCGGGAGCTAAAATCGGCAACTCAGAAGGCTGTCGACTGAAGGAGTAAGTCGGCCCCAATCCCTGTACGGAGAGTCAAACTTCGGAAAACCTTTCATCACGTTTCCTTTATGGTACTAACACTCAGCAAGGATCTGATTCGTCTACCACTTCTTTTTGTTATGTGAAATGCTGGTTCATCGTGTGCGGACTAGGTGTGTTGGCACACCTATGCTTAGGTTCAGGTTAATCCAGCCGTATACGTACGATCCAATCTCAAGACTTATTGACTCTGTTTTCACACCGGCTTCAGATGGGAAAGGGGTCAGAGTGTGGTAGATGTTGTGCAAGTTTAATATCGCTATAAACTAATTTTTGTCCAAGTCGCCGCCTCTGCGTCCGCACGACTGTAGGTCGCACGGTGGGCATCGTCGAAACCGATAGAATTGTCCTAACCTAGGTATGAGCATATTTCAGCTAGTTTCTCTGATGTTTAACTTGGATATCAGGCCATGCAACTTCGAGCAAAGGACCTAGAGTATACATGGTCATGCCTTTAACGCTGAACGGACTAATTTGCGAACTTGAATTTCCAAGCCTTGTCGAACGCGGTACATTCGATTTACAGTGCACATTAGGTCAGTCTTGGCGTGACATTTTCGTAGGTATGTCGGAGCGGCGTCTAACTGGTTGCAGTGTTTTTTTTTACAATAGTATACTTTTATTTATTTCGCAATTTCCCACTACTGCAGACCTTGCGTTTTCCTGTTGATACCTCTGATGCCGATAAGAATGAGTATTTTACCCTGATAACATTCTTGTCGCCCGGGGCTAGCCCGGTCGCGGGTTAGTGTTGCGATTGACGGATTTTTTTTCGGAAATCCTGGTAGACGCTGCCCGTAGGCGTACAGCAAGTTGACGCGACCTCTCGGGCTAGTTGGGGGCGTTGTCGCCCAAGGCGATTTAAGTCGCCAGACAAACGTCTACAGTTCCGGACAAAGTGCGTGCCTGCACCCCTGCATGCGTGCATACGCGTTAAGTTACCCCGCAGGCGTGACGCCCAAAATCCACTCGGTCGAGCATCGAGGAGGGCGTGCAGCTAAAAGGCTAAAAAGTTAATTACCACTCACAGGCCGAGTGCCGTCAACCATTTAGATTACTAGCCCTGCAGTAGCCTGCAAATCAAACGAGCTAGCGAACGTCTACCCCTGGGCGCCTAAATGATATTAAGGCTAACCTTAAGTCATAATTATACTCTGATTTTTTCGCCACACTCACACCAGTGTGCAGCGCCACCTGCGGCATATATTCGAAACTACCGACACCATGCGAGACGCTATATTAATAGTGACTATTACTACTACTGTAATGATCTTATGTCCAAGGTCAGGACGAACATACTTTCCCGTGGGCACTGGAACTGTCCCCGCTGGTGATAGAGGTATGTGGTTAGTACAAGGACAGAGTAAAATTTAGCAGAGCTTATTTGCAATTGATGTGACGAGGTGTTGTGTCTTTTCGCTGTCCTTTCTGAAAAATGTCTTTTTTGCGTGCAGGCCCACGTGAGTAACTAGACAGCCCCACACGAACCAACCGTTGCTTTTTTCGCCTTTTAGAAGAATAATTTCCCCTGACTACGACTAAGGATTCAAGAGCTAGCTTCCTTTTCCTGAGTGGTACCGCCTTCCAGAAAAATGGCACAACCGTGGTTTAGTGACAGGGTAAGCATGCTAATTTGTGTTAACTAAAACGCCCTATTCGTACTTCTAGAGATCCCGGTTAAGCACGACTGAAGTTCCACCCTTCAATGTCCGTAATTATGAGGTCCAGGCGAAAAATATATTTGAACAACACATCACCGGAAATAGCCGCATGGACGATAGCGAGCTTTA